ATAATATTATTATCATCCTACAATATGAATCTCATTCCATTCCTCACGTTTCTCGTGGAAGCCGATTGAGAGCATTATTTTACTTTCTACAGAGTAATCCACGTAGGAGAGAGAAAGTTATGTAATGCTACGACAGAAACGGCGATAATAGATACTAATCTATAGAGAATCCGCTTAAAGGTAAGTGGTTGAGAAAGGGAAGAAAACAACGATAGCTGCTTACATTGAATGATGAAGCTATATTTTGCGTTCATCGTTTTAAATCGTTTGTAGATACAAGTTCGCCATGAGTGAATGTATTGATTCACCACGAGAAAGTGGGTGCCAATCTGTAGCACCACTACTTTTGCTTTCTAATCGTGCTTGGCCTCTAGTTATAAACTCTGGTTGTACGATATAATGGTTTACAAACATTACTTTTCTCTTCTGCAATCTTTGTTTACGACGACATGCATGACAATTTGTACCACCAAAGAAATTAAAACTATTACAACTAATTTTAATTTCTCACTCTATTTAAAGAGTTAAATATTTTTCAACACACACTCACAAACATAGACTACTAGATTAGCAGAATGATGAAATATTGAAATTACTATATGTAGCGATTGCACTATGAAGTAGAGCTGTGATAAGAAAGCCAATCTCGTACCTGAAACCAGTACCCCCGGATTATTAGACATTTGTTGGAAGCAATGCAGCAAAAATTGATAAAATATCGTGAAATATTTAATAAGAGAATTTATAAATTCTCATTCAATACCAAATCAGCAAATCCAACAGTTATCTTTCAGTTAATTCTACATTTATGAGGAAAGGTTGATGAGTGGTAGTTCAAAAATTGAATTACGAGGTATTAAGCAGCTTAATTCTACGGAAACGATCTTGGTTTAGTGAAAAAATTTTGGTTAGATTATTTAGTTATCGGGGCTCGAAACTCTTTCCATTTTATTACATCATACTCTCATAATGAAGTTGGCACTTCCCATTCTATTAGGAGACACGCAACGTTAGTGTAATTACGATAAGAAACACTTTAAAAAATTACCATAACCTTTGGTCATACCACGTGGGAATTCATAGCCTTGACCTAAAACTGCACTGTAGGATAAAAATATGCATTTGACAAAATACCGTACATACAAAAATAGCATTTCCTTCTTTAGATTCACGAGCTAAATATGTACATAATCCTATGTAATAAAACATATTGAACAGAAAATAGCAATGCTTAGCCTGTTTTGGAGAAAACAACTTCACGACATCGGAAAATATGTTACCAACCCAGAAAATTCAACTATCATGGATCGTATACATTATCTACATCATACCATTTCTGAATTTTGTTTGCAGTTCAGTCCACGTTACTTAACATATCCACCCACTCATCTACAAATAGTTATTACTTTGTTGTAGTTTCTGTATTTGAAGCTTTGTGTAATATAAGCAACTATTCTTTACTAACTGTAGACGAACCAATAGTTATTAACTAAAAACGTACTCATGTTCAGGCCATGTATTTCATGTAACATGTTCCCAATACAAAAAATGGAGCGTGTGTGGACACATGAAATTTCTACTGGCTACTCGAGATGAGAGCTACAGCAGAAGAAAGAACTCCTCCTGCACTACCTTAAAAATCGCTTGTCAAAGCTGGAGGGCGAGGCCTACGAATTTCTCCTCGCGCACCGTGCATTAACGGACACATCGTTCGTTTCGCGGCGACGCAACGCGGGTGTCCGGTCTGCGGAACGCGCGGCGTCCGGACGTCCAGGGCGGGGAATCGAGGAGGCGAAACCCTTTCCCGACTTTCTCCGAGGGGGCACCGCCCCCTGTCAGCGCGTCCAGAACTTTCTCCGCGCAGCAGCACCGTGCCGCGGAGCAGGAAGTGGAAGAGGTGAGGAGCAGCTGGCAAAATACGCAAACGCCGGGGATATGTGAGTTTGACTAGAAAATGTATTCTTCATAAATACACTGGTACAATACGCAAGCGCAAACGCGAGCGCGGGGGCGGGGAAGGGGGACTGGGTCCCTCGAAAGGCAACGCGTGCGCGAGCGTGAACAAGCACGCTCCGGAGCCCACGGTGGGCACCGCGGAGGCGGAGGCGGGGCCGCGCTCCGCTGGCGGCAGCAGCGCTTCCGGCCGCGCGTGACGCAATGCGCGCGCTGCGTCGACGCGGACGCGGAAGCTGCTACAGGACCACGCAGATTCCTCCTCCGCGCGCGGCAAGGCGAGGCAAGTGCGTTGCCAATGCAGCAGAACTGCCTCCAAGGGCGAGGAAAGGGCGAATTGTTTAAACAAATGTTAGGTGGAGGGGAATAGACACGGCACCATACATTATTTAACCGAAATGAGAGAACACTTTGGACGGTTCTGACATCATTGGATGTGTGAAAACTGTTAAAGTAGACTCCCGTTTCAATCGCGTATGTTAAGTTATGAAGTCAACTATTGGTTAAGAGAGTTTGATAACTTTCGCCAAAATATTAGAAGACTCAAGCTTTTTGACAAGAAGGAAGGTGTACGGTCGAGTTTTCACGTAGGTATTAAGAGAACATAAGCCAAAAATGTAGGCCTGAGGGAAGATGTAATAAGAGAAGTGGGGCGGGACTGTAGGCTAGTAGGAGAAAAGATATCCGAAACCGGAGTGAAGTCTAGAAGTGGCGAACGGATTACTGCCGATTAGGATAACCAAGGACAGATGATGTCACGAGACAGGAAGTGAATAAATGTGAAATCCCGACACACAGAAAGCGACATGCCAAAAATAAAATATACTCGGAAGGAAGGACCAAGGAACGTAAAACGGGTAGCAAGACGCCTGGGATGAAAGCGCACGCAAGGGCAGTGGCCGGACGAGAGAGTACGGCCGACGGCGAGCGCCACCTTCGGCCCTCGGAAGGTTGCGGTCACTTGCCAAGTGAAATCCGCAACCGTCGGAGAAAGTGAGGGCGCCGGCCGGGACGGTGCTTGCGCTGATCTGCGGGGCCGACCTCGTCCCGAGAGAGAGTAAAATTACGTCGCACTGTACTTCCTCCCACTCGTTGCAAACACCAGCAAATCCTGGCATAACAACACTGATTACACACGACGCGTTTCCCACAACGCGTAACTCACAACGCGGCTTCAGATAACACTTGCGAAGATAATGAGCAACAACAACATTCTTCACTATCGTCATATCCACCATTACCAAAGGCTTAGTTCTTCTCATTGCGCCTTTAGTTCACGGATACATTATAGGTCCCACAGTTATTATCACGTTTCGCATTCCGTGCCCCAGTCGTCCTTGATCATGTCGGCGGCCTTCTCTGCTATCATGACCACCGCCGCGTTGAGGTCCCCCGTGACGAGCGTGGGCATGACGGAGGAGTCCGCCACGCGCAGGTTCTTCACACCGCGCACGCGCAGCCGCGGGTCGACGACGGCGTCGGCGTCCGCGTCGGGCCCCATCTTGCAGGTGCCGCCGTAGTGCCACAGGCTCATTGTGTACTGGCGCAGCGCGCACTCGAGGTACGCGTCCTCGTCGCGGGTGGCGTTCTCGCAGCCCGGGAAGGGCGTGGCGCTGAGGCGCGCGCCCAGCGCTTTCAGCGCGGGGGCCTCCACCAGCCTCCGGGCCACGCGCGCCGCCTCCACGAGGGTTCGCACGTCCCGCTCGTCCGATAAGTAGTTGAGGTGCACGGCGGGGGCCGCGCGCGGGTCGGCGCTGCGGAGTTCGACGCGGCCGCGGCTGTGCGGGCGCATGAGCCCCGCCACCAACGCGAACGTCTCTTTCCCCATGAGCGGGTGATAAACAGCGTCGTAAAAGCTTTTGGAGAGCCCCACGACGCCACGCAGGAAGCGGCCCCCGTCGCCGTAGGCGCTGGCGGGCGCGAGGTAGAGCGCCGCGTCGGGGTAGTCGGCGCGGGCGAGGGGCGTGGCGAAGAAGCCCAGCGGCTGGCCGGCGCCGCGCGGGGCCGCGGGGCCCTCGTCGTGGAAGAGCGCGGCGCGCACCAACGCGCCCACGTCCTGCAGCCGAGGCAGCGCCAGCGGCGGCGGCCGCTCCAGCGTCACCAGCAGCCCGCCCAGCGCCACGTGGTCCTGCAGGTTGCGCCCCACCGACAGGTTGGCGAGCGGCTTCACGCCCGCGCGCCGCAGCTGCTCCTCGGGGCCCAGCCCGGCGAGCAGCAGCAGCTGCGGCGTCGCCAGCGCGCCCGCCGACAGCACGGCCTCGCGCGTCACGCCCACTCGCGCGCGCTGCCCTCCCGCGCGCGCGAACCGCACGCCCGTCACGCGCCGGGAGCCCGCGTCCACCTCCAGGGCCTCCACGCGCGAGTGCGCGCTCACGTCCAGGTTCTTGCGGAGGCGCGCGGGCCGCAGGAAGGCGCGCGAGGCGCCGCAGCGCAGCCCTTGGCGCAGCGTGGCGTACGGCCGCGCCAGGCCCGCGCCCTCAGCGCTGAGGTCGGCGGCGCGCGGCAGCCCCAGCTCCTCCGCCGCCGCCAGCACCGTCTCCGCCAGCGCGTCGCGCGCTTTAGGCTCCTCCAGCGACAGGTAGCCGCCCGTCGAGTGGTGCCTCTCATCCGCTCGCCAACGCTCCACGCGCATGTCCTCGGACTTTTTGAAGTATGGTAGCACGTCGTCGTAACCCCAGCCGGTGTTCCCCGCGGCCGCCCACGCGTCGTAATCGCGCCGGTTGCCGCGCACGTACGCGAGAGAGTCCCGGTCGGTGAGCCCCGCGGGTCGCGGCAAGCGGCAGCGCCCGTGGCGCATGGCGCGGCAGAACGCATCGCTGGGCTCCGCGGCCAGCGGCACGGGATCGTCGTCAGCACGCGCGTCCCCATCGCCATGCCCCTCCGTGTCGCCGGGCTCCAGCAGCAGCACCGTCCAGTCGGCGCGCTCGGAGAGGCGCGACGCCAGCACGGCGCCCGCCACGCCACCGCCCACCACAACGAAGTCGTAGCGCGGGCGCAGCGCGCGGCCCAGGGCGGAAGCGTCGCGCGCCCTCCCGCCGCCAAACGCGCGCACGTCGGGCCGCAGCAGCGCCACGCCCAGCTCCAGCAGCTGCACGCACAGCGTCGTCACCATGGCCAGCAGCAGGAGGCGGCGCTGCGCCGCGGGCGTCGCTGCGGCCACCATTGACACCACGTCGCCGCTGGACAGATCCGTATCGCTCTCCGGCGCGCCGTCACCGCCGCCGCCGTCGCCAACGCCGCCACCGGCACTGCGGCTGCGGAAGAGACATGGCGCCACCGCCCACGCGGTAAACACTACGCGGTCTGGCAATACTCGCCAATGGTAACGCTTTGCTGCCTCTCCCACACTTGCCGCCGCCGCCACCGCCAAACATTGACCATTCATAGATGGCCCGTAGACTACTTCCCCATGATAAGAAAACACTAGTATCTCCCGAACTTTAAAAATATTTCTACATTCCATCTTCCCGCAATCTTCAATGGAAAACTTATTTACTATCTCAGGAAATATCAAAATTTTACTATCTGTGAAATATTCCCAAATTGCTAGATGTCTTCCATTGTTCATTAACTGGCCGTGAAAAAATATTTAAGAATTAGCTTCAATTGAAACACGCACGTAATAAATAAAGAACAAAAAAAATAATAAGATATCTAAAACCACATGAGCAAATAAAAAATGCGACACAATGAATTTTCCAATAAAATCCTGAAGCCAAAAACTAACCTTCCCCATTCCAAACAGCCGCTCAATCACTGAAGTGCTGTCAACACGAGGACGATGGAGAAATACAGAGGGGAAAACCAAGTGGCATGGGCAATTGTCTTGAAAGAGGACATTCACCACTAAAACATCATTATGTGTGACAAGCTGTAACGACTGACACGTGAGAAGCACAACGAAAACACATCGATAAGTCAGACTCGATTTAGGAAGAACCCTCAATATTATCAGCAAGTAGTAAACTAAAAATAGGAGATAATTTAAATGACATTTCACTACTCTCGACCCTCATTCATTTTCGACTGAAACCAAATGAGTTGTCTAAATATGAATTCACCAGAGCGAGAAAAAGAAATTTAGACTCAATAGCGTGTCTCGATGGGAAGATTAGAGCTACTCAGGAAGGAGAATAAAAAGAAACTGGAAGATTTTGAAGTTTACCGTGCTAAGATTGTAGATAGTTTTATTCATTTCAAAAACACTTATGGAAACTTCCCAATTCAAACAAAAAGACACTCAGATTTGAAAACAGACGTTAATGCAAAAGTCTTTGATTTATAACCCAGAAAACCACATACAAGAGGTCGGTTACAGACAATGAATAATACGAATGAAGATAAGAGATACATGTATAATGTACAATTAAGGGGAACGATTTTCGAATAGTATTTGTATTCTATTAAATATAATTACTCCATTTAAATTTATTTCTAAATAATTAAATATTTATCTCGTGGTGTCGAATACAACTTCGTAATTTCAAGAAAACTTCGTAATTTCTCTAAAAACAAAAGCCTGGTCACAAAATATGGCACTGAGCGAGAAAGCATTGAGACATTTTGAGTGCACGTCACGGCGCCTTACATCCCCACACCCAGCTCTCGATTGAATAGTCCGCTATCACTTTCGAAAACGAATGGAAGCACAAACTGTGCATTACAATGTGGGTACGAAGCCCCCCCCCCCTCTCCTCCCTGGTCCATTTCTCCTCCATCGCTGTCTGGAGGAGAATTCTTGTAGCAGAATCTCACCATCTGGCGGGGGGAATATATAACCACCACCTCTCGAGGGGAGAACATGTATTACACTTACGGGATTAATGACTTTAGCAACTGACGCACTCGAATCACCAATCAATAAATTGATTTTAAAAAATCCTCCTTCGCGTGCTTTGCAGGGCGAAAAGGGAAGGCACTCCTGCATTTTGCTCCAGGAGAAACGGACACATCTGCCGCGGATGTGCACAACAGAGGCCCGTCCACGTGCGAGGTCCACGTGCGAGGTCGCGCTCTCTGAAGGCGGTCGGCGGCCGGAGAGAGCGGCACAAAGCGGGGCGGCGTCCGCGTCAGGATCGCCGCAATTATTTACGAGCATGTTCAACGTCGCCCGTATATTTCGCACGATGCTCATTATTCCTGGAGTATTTGGGGCGAAAGAATTCGCGAAAGGCCGGGCCACACAATTAACTATCGAAAGTTGCCCAGAGAAAACAAATAACCGAATCGAATTATCTTGAAGATTCTTTGTTTGGATGATGAATCGATAGATTTGAAAACACATCGTTCCACATTACGCTGACCTACATTAGTGTGGCTACGCGGTGCCGCGGTATTCCATCCACGCATTAAAATTCAATATTTTCTAGCTGACCTGTCCCACATTGATTCAACGTATTCAGTGAACGGTGCAAGATTACAAGAAGTGGCTCAACGATGTTAAGGGTTACGAATTGTTTATTCATCACTTGAGTGATCGAGTGGATTGATTGATCGATCGATCGCGCAAGAAAACTCGACTCGTAAAAACATAAAGGTGTATTGCGTTTGGATCCAATTCGTAATTTGGGTTAAGAGATGAAATCACAGTTTATGAGTGTGGTTCGAACAAAACTAATTCTTTTGTCAGATGTTCAATTTCAACTCAAACGATATCTACGAATGAAGCAATATTATTCATTTAAAGCTCCACTCAACGATATCAAAACGGCACGTCTGAATTACAGTAAATATTAACGTCCTGTATCAACGTCATATAGTTACAATAACAAAACTACAAAAAGTTTTTTTTTTATTTCGCCTCATTACAATTTCCATCCTTTTCCCTGATAATTATTAACCGAGGCTGAAGTGAAAGATGTACTGACCCAAGATCGGGTGGGGGTGGGTAGTTTTTTTTTCCTTAGGCACCCTAGGTAAGTCACGCTGCCTTTCGAGGCGACCAAAGTAGGTTAATGTCGAAAACAATGGGCTCCCGCAGTTTCCCAACTCCACTCGCATCTGCCCTCCCACCCTCTCCGCCGTGTCGTTCAGGAGAACGCGCCCCGTTTGACGATTCGCAGGCGGCGCGTTAACGGTAATTGCGTCGACCCAGACCGCTTCCACTTTGGATTCCAGTCAGCGTTAATGGACCGTTAGGAGTACATTAACTTCATTAGCAATTTCTATTTACACTTCTTTTTAACTGTAGAAAGGGAAATGCACAGTCCCCAGACATCTAAAGAGAGAACACGTTCCTCAAGGCATAACTGAAAAGGGGAGATGAATAAATATTTATTATTAAATTTAACAAATAATCACTGTTTCTGTAAAATTAGAGCAGATAAGACAGCAATGAACGGAATGACAAGTTGATGTGAGCGATTATTCTTATCGAGAAACCTAACTAGGCCCCAACAATATATTATTCAACACTCAAGAGTTCTTTTAAAGTGACGTCAGCAAACTAAGTTACTCTGTTTATATTTTGGAGTATTACATGAGTGTATGAACGTTAATAACGTAGTACCTTAATACATCGGGCATTTCAATTTGCAGAGAACGAAAATAATACTGTACACAAGCAAAAGATTTGTGAGTAGAGTACCCAAAGTCAACCTACAAATACCCATGGAAAATAACATAATGATTTTAAAGTTTACTCTTACGATAAAAAAAACAAAAACAAATATCCTAAAAGCATGGCTAGTTGAATGCCAACTCCCTGCAAAAGACTCGCTTGAGGGACTACTGTTTACGTAAGTCTCGGCAGCTCGGGAAATGCTGAATCTAAAATGTGCGAGCCGCGCGTCCCACAGCCCACCTCCTCGCCCTGCGCAACCTGCGAACGGACACGTGCCGCGTGCGCGTGGGGGCGTTGCGTGGCGTGGTGTGGCGTGGTAGCCTCCGTCTCGCATTTCGATTAGATCGGCACGGCACGGCGCGACGCTGCGAGGAGAAGCGATGCGCTGCGGTGCGATTTGGCTCCCGACGCCGCCGCTTCCACCTCGTTGTGTCATCGCGCGGCCAATGCAACGCGTGCTTTGGCCCTCGTCCGCAAGTGGTGTGTCGTGTCGTGTTGTGTTGTGTTGTGTTGTAATGTTTGGCCGAAGGACGTTCATTTGGAGACCTCCAGAACTGCAGCGCTACGCATACAAGAGCAACTCAGCTAATTCACAAGCTAACACCGCACGCAGACAACACGCTACATCGTTTCGTCTTTCCGTAAATGTGTTGCATTATCTTCCACTTCGTGTTTGCATTTGTCGCTCTCTTACTCCAAATGGGTCAAAGGAGGGAACGCAGAACAATTCATCTGAACAATGGTGCACTTAAATTCCAACTCGAGTAAAAGCAAAAAAGAAAATGACAATAGCGGAGTAGAGAAGTACTTTTCTACTACAATATCCTACGATTTATTGAAAAATATATAATTTGGATTAATTAAATATTTGTTTAAAAAATAATAGAAATTGAACTACATAGTCTGACAACAGGTTTGCGTCGATCTTCCGAAATGAAAAAGATTATCCCCATAATTGTTTGTTTTTTCAAGATATTGGATTTGTCAAATTACGAATATTATAGATGTTTTTATCAGATAAAAATAGGAAATAAATGAAAAAAAACTGTTTCAGTGGAGCGCGACTTTTAGAAGACAGTAAAATAACCATTGTCCATAGTTCAATAACGTGGAAAACCAGTTATTGGAGAAGTAGTGTTAATCGACGTGATTAAATGAGTGAATTTTTTATAAAAAGTCAGTGACAACTCTTACTTCAAACCTATTTTGATTTAACTAATTTAATCGATAATTTGGGGAATACATTTTCAGTGAACATAAAAATTTAAAACAATAAAGAAAAAGCAAAACATACTTCCTGCAATATAATTGTAATGTGTTCTACGTTTACGATATTTACACAATATGTACATTGTGAACTAAATTGCAATTTATTACTAGTACACAGTTTTATTTTCCTTTTAATTAACACATTTTTGAACCAATAAAAATATTTCGATCGTCCGACGGGTTTTCGAAATTCTGTGGACCCCCCCTCCCTCCTTCCCCGTTATTACTCCGATTTATAGAGGTTCTACTGCAAATAATTTCTCACGAAAAACCGACAACGACCTTCGCTATAATTTCTTCGTTCGCTCCCATTGTCTTTTCCCGCAATAGAGCAGTGGCGACGGCGGTGGCGCAGTGAACGGAAGAAAGACGCGGGAATCGGGTCTCGGAGCGATCCGCGAGCGCTCTCCCGGGGCGGCCCCGCCCCCGCACGCGCCTCTCGCCACCTGGAGCAGGGGAACGTCGAATCAAAAGACCTAATGGCACGCCATTTGCGCATCTGATGCGGAACGTCGCTCTTCCCAACGGCATCAAGGGTTGTGGGTGCACTCCGCTGTAATTGTTCACGGATTTCTGAGAAGTTTGCAGGTTTGGCGCACACGCACTGGAACTAGTGTATATACTCTTGCTACGTTATGAACTCAAACCTAGAATCAAACATTCATGCCCCCCCCCCTCCAGGGCATACTTTTCTGTAATTCTGAATAATGGCACAAACTTCCTCACAGCCACATCGCAATAAAACCCTTTGAACGAGGTCGCCCAGACACGAGGCACTTAAAACAATCTTCATTCCTTTACAAACTATATTAGCAATGGAGCACTGATACTAATTTAATTCATGAAAATAAGGCAATCTCCATCCAACCGAAATACATAGTGGTCAATGATTTTGAATATCCTGACGAAATACCGAAGTCTGGTTAATAATCAGTTATTTTATTTTCTTCTTGCACAAAAGTCCTTTGTTAAAACATTTCTATGAAACGGCGAGAATTAAGTACAAAAATGTCAACCCGATCGATGAGCCAGAACTAAAGAATCAGCAGAGCTGATGATTTCAGCGAAGCAACTGAACCTAACGTTCCACAAAGGACTCCCGAGAAGAAAGAGGTCGTAACGGAATGCGCGTGAAGTACCGTAAAGGCGTTCTTCCTCTGCCTTTCTACAGCGACTCAAAGGAGTAGGGAAGAAGGAACTCAACGAAAAAATCCTTTGCACACCTAGACCTTTATATTTACGCGTATGTGGAACTCATTCAATTCCCTACTAAGCGACTATAATAGACCGTTGGAGTGGGTTAAGTAAATACAAAAAGAAGTTGCAGACAACAAGAACTGCAACGTCAATGTCATGTTGAACTACAAATACACGAGTACGTGAATACATGACGCTATTTAGAAGATACTACATAATCCTATAATTATCAATAGTCAATAAGAGCATTGGAAGCCAGGTACATCGACGTTTTAATATTTATAACAAAATATTTAACTTTTAACACCACGATTGATAATAAAAAACAAGTACAAAACTGAGATGTAAAACAGAACAACTGAAAGTGAGCACACCGATGACGTTTCAATGAAAACAGACACAATAAAGATTGTTTACAAACTGAGACCGCAGCGTCACCACATTCACATCCATCACATAATAAATTTATACATTTTAATGAATTGTAATGTTTTGGAAATATGCTGAATAGGACAGTTCCTTGAAGCCAAAAGCATTCGAAAGACCGTATGTTTTAAATGTTCATTTTAAGTACACTATTAGTCAAAAACATCTCATTAATTTGAAATTTTATCAAGTACAATCATTCGGAATAATTTCATACTAGGAATTGGCAAATAAAATTACAGCGACAGAAGCATCTCTTCAGCGAGGAAGTCATCATGGACAACAAACGTAGTGGAACCACGTGGAGACGTAGTGGCCACTAAAGATGGACAGCTAAGACACCTCACCAACAAGAAACAACTGCAACCCAATCGGACTGATCGCCGTGTCGGCCGTTCCCCTAATGCTTGCGGAAGATCGGCGGGGCGCTGGCAGTGGCGGCGGGCAGTAGGCGACGGTCGCGCAGACGCACGCACCTCTTGGAATCCTTGGCAGTCGCCGTGGTGGATGCTGGGCGGGCACAGCCGAAGGGTTGAAGCAAAAGACGGCGCGGGCCGGCACCGGGTGCTGGCGCGGATGAGGGCGAGGGAGCGCGTTGGCGGGCAGCGCCGGAACAGCGGAGCGCGGCGGCCGCCACGGAGCGTCGAGGCGGACTGGCGCGCGCCAGGGGGGAGGCGCGGCGCGCCGGCTGCCGGCTGCCGCTGGAGGGGGCTGACCGCCCGGCCCGCGCGGCCGCTCGCCTTGGCGCTCCCAACCTTCACCCGGCGGCGACGCCTTACGTCACGCAGACGCTCGGGCGAGGGCTCCCCGGCGCCACCCGCACCAACAGGAGGACTCTTCCGGAAATGGCAGTTTTGTGGCGGCAACAACGCGCGGCATGCCGCCAGTGCCGCTGCCGAGCGAAAAATCGCCGAATCCTGAGTAATGGGATGAGTCCCTTGCTCTCGGTTCGATCCGCGAAGTGTCCAGAATATGCCGAAGTGGAGACGAGTTGCTTGCTCATCGCCGACAGCCAAGCTTGCGGAGCTCGCCCTGTGATGTCCAGAATACGCAACAGTGGCCATTGCTCTTTTTTTTTTGCCGAGCACCAACGTTCGGTACTCACCCTACCCACGAAATGTCCAGCGTGCCGAGTAGTAGGAATAAGTTGCTTCTCAGCTGAGAGCCAGACTTTCAGGGCTCCACCTATCCACAAGGTAGCAGTCTTCTGTGATACTCCAGCACCTCAGCTAATAGGGATTCGACCAGGACTCGCTCGATGCGCCGAATACTGCTTGTGTGGCGCAGCCTTTAGAGTCGATGGGATAAAGACCATCTTGCAAAGAGACTTTCCAATGTTTCGCCTTCATTCTAGTTGGTGGAACAGAAGACTGACGTAGAAATGCAAAAAACGCGTATGTTTCCTAACTGCAAATACAGAATTCCTAATATCGCACCTTCTGGGAAGTCAAAGTACCTACAGTTCAAAATAACCAACGAATTTTCTCAATGCATTTCACGATTAAAATGTAACATATAAATATGCTCCATAAATTTGTCCGTAACAGGAAGATTAAGAAATTCACATTCGCCAATTTTATTTACCTTCTGGAAAATGTTCAAACACATCTCATTAAAAGAAAGTATACTCTACCACAATACACTTTCTCCGAGCCTTTTGATCTTGGATGTGTCTGCCATCAAAGACGTCACCATTGATAAAATTGGGGCAACTAAAGCGCACATCTTCCCTTATCCGTACCTTTTTCAGACAAAAAGACTGGAAGGGTAGATAAATCTTGGTCTGCACGATAAACTATTTTTTACATGTAATCTTTATACAACGTATAAACAATCGGTTACACAAATGCAATATCGAAGTCGTATAACAATTCTGCACAGCTGAATACAATCCTGTACATCGAGGGTAGAGAATAGAAAGATAAGAATATCCGCACAAAAGAAATAGCTTATTTTAGAATAGTAATTTGTAACAATTTAGGAGCACAAGACATCGCCCACTTCTTCCCCACCTTCTGCATCGATTAACAGTTACCAATAAGTATATACCAAAACTCCTCTTCGAAGTAATCCACTCCTTCTCCTCATTATCCTTATAAAGAAAGCAATATTCTTCGCTTCAGAAACCTCAAGGGCAGTCAGCCACTAACAACATTGCGGCCTGCAAAGGAGAGACCTTAGCAACTCAACAAGCAAAAACGTAAACGAAGTTTCAAACATGTCATTAGAAACAACGTTTACGTATAATGTTCCGCATTCCTACGTAGCAACAGAGCAATTTACGTCCGCAACGTAAGAGAATACGAAGTTGTCCTTTCTATTATTAATTTGTTTTGTAGAGAGCTTTTTCTACAATTTTCACTAATGAAATAATACTTGCACATCATTACAAATAATTATAACTCAATTTCTAAACTTCACTATAATAAGTCAGAAAAGCCGTCTTTCCAAGACCAATCAAAAGCTCATCTTGTGTGTGTTCTTGTATAAGTTGAAAAGATTCTACAATTTCCTCGTACGTTCTCGAGTTCGGTGCAAAGAAACGGATTTCAGTTCATGGTGCACACAATTGTCATCTATTGCCTGCAATCCCACTTGCTGTGAAACGGTAAAACAAATGTCCGCACAATTGAGCAACATGGCAATGACAATTATTGTGTAGAACGCGTAAGTAACTGACAAGATTCAATAAAACATCATTTGCACATCGAAGAATCGTAATTGCATCGCGCATAAGTAGTGCTAAATCTACACGCGTCGTATTCCAAACAAACCCGTGATCAAATTCGGTTCTAGCTCTTAGATATAATGTTGACAACGTAAAAAATGTTTTCCAAACAAATGATATTAGCTTTTGTAGATTATGTATAACTTTGAAACCTCATTAAATTACGCCCTCAGAGTTTGTGGATGTAATACCTATTGCAGAATAATAAAAAATAACGCGATGCAAATAAAACAATCCACACGACACATTGCATTTTGAATGTCCTACACCTTTCCTCACCACAGTAAACTTCAAACCGGGAGTTCCCACATTTTATCCACGAACTTTCAATTGTTTACAATAATATTTTTACGTTGACCAAAGAATCACACGCAGTACTCCATCAGCGAGCATCTCTGTCTGCACAGTTATACGAACTCTAAGCAGTGTTACTGCGGTGTCGAATACTTTAATTCGGTTCACAAACTAGGATTCGAAATCTACACTGCCACTATATTGTATTCTATTCAATTATTCAGTTCTTCATATTAAAAATAATAAAGTATAACGCTCAAATCCATAATAATTTCGGGGCACCGCTATGCTACTGTGCTTCTGCAAAGCGCTCTTTAACGATGTTTCTGGGGTTACCTATTTCAGTCTGACATGTTAGCCACATGTACGCCTAAGTACTCTTCGGTAAGCCTCTCTCGCGAGGGGCAGATGCGTTGTCGACACATCCTGGCGCTCGAGCCCCGGCGTCACGGTTCCCGGACAAAACCTACTTTCCTTGACCCCTCTACATGGCCTCTCGTTTATGCACTTTTTTTTCGGAAACATCGTCTATGTGTATGCATATGAAATTGATGTTAGATCACTTTGTTGTTAAGTTGTTAAAAATATACTTTTTTGAAGTATTATAACAAATGGTTCGTTTCCAAGTTATGGAGCAATAGTGAAATTAAAGGAAACAGGAAACCTCCCAGAAAACATGCCCCGAATTACCTTCATCTAGATCAAATTACACAGAAAGTGATCAGTTGGTTCGGTGCTACAACAACCACAACACAAATTAATGTAATTAGAATGTTTAGATTAAAGCTGCCCCGAGTAGGTAAGAAGATCATCACATCGAAATATTGAAGTTGAACCAGCGGATGCCAGAAAGCACGCTGGCGGTTTTCTCCATTATAAAACTGTGTGATGTAACGACCACACGGAAGGTGAGCTGAGTTGCGTAACGAGTCGCACAAAACTACCAACTTTTCTTCCCACATAAACAAACCAATGCCAGCCAGGGCTTGGCAGCCAGAGCCAGTGCACTTCCTTAAGGCTGCGCGGAGAGAGGTGGCGTGGGTGTGCCTGGGGCGCGAGGCGTTGCAGAAAAAGAGTTCGTGCTCCGATCTTTTTCTTCTAATTTCGTACCTCTACTTTCTCCAATCGCTTTCCCCCCCCCTCTAGAAACATGAACTGTTCTATAAAAGAGAATATTCAGTGTTGAAAGGAATGTTTCACCTCACAAAGGGGATACAAACCAAAATGAAATTGAAAACAACTTATTTGAAATTAAGAGAGATAGAAACAACATAGTAAGTTCGTACTCTTTTTGGGTAATGTTGAGATGAAACAAAAAAAATTACAACGTTAAACGTAAAAAATAATGTCCACTTTACTGTGTGACAACAATAGAACAAAAGTACGGGATTGAAGTAGCAAATCACTAAGTATGATTCTGAAACGAACAATTAAAATCTTCGTGCTTTTCACAAATACTAAATTAAAACATACACAAAAATTAAGTAGTCTAATTCTTCTCAATTCATAAACATCTTTTTTTCTTGAACGAATTGACTTGAATCCAAAGATACATTAAGAAGTTAATATGACTTTATGATCAGTAGTTTTCTTTCATATCAATAAATAAAGCGTTCATAATCCTCTAAAATCCATTTTTCCCTGTTTTTCTTATAAATTATTTAAACAGATTCATTAGCAAATCTCCTGCAGTCTCCCTGATTACAACAATGTTTACATAGATACTTCAATGTGGCTTCCATACAAAACTTTCGAAGGCACAAAAATGTTATTTCCTAATGTTTAAACACAAGATTTCATCAGTTAAATACCTTGGTAATGGAAGAATACAGGGTGGCTTTTTCAGAAATGTAAAAGAAAAAACATGTTTTTCCTCATTCCATTGAACTCGGAAGACATGAGGAAACAAAATTCTCTTATGAGAAAACTCGTTTAAGCAGAAATAAGGAGGAGGTTGGCGGGCTCACCGAACAGCTATCGCCATCCTGCCATTAAGGGTTTCGGTGAGGAAACTATGTCTCTGTTGTAAGAAAATTGGGGCATCAGGTGGAGAAATGGTACAAAGAACAGGAGAATCGTGAGTAGGTTTAGGGAAGGAGGTCCGAGGGTTCGAAGCAGACGTGGAGGATGGATAAATTATGGAAGATGAAAGAAACTGTCTTATGGCAAAAGAAAGCCTGTGTGGAATTCGACGTGCCAGTTCATTACCAAGTAAACATATGTTTTCCAGGAAGGTGCATGTCGAGACTACACAAGGTGAAGTGTTTTGCTGACAGGGAAGTGAGTCCCAAAAGTGTGATATTTGATTCCTTCCATGTTGGTTCGAGAGCTTAATCTCGCTGCAGTCTTTGTCTCTTGTACGAGAAGGACTGAGTCCAGACTACAATGTACAGTAGATATCGAGCGGTATATTGTAATTAGTTTACATGTATTTCAGGAATTGTTTTGGTAATAAATGCCTTTTTTTACTCTTGGCTTTTTTCTGTCCATTGAAGATTAAAAAAAAGCGGCTCTGGTGGTACCAAAATAAATGGTTGTAGCAACAAAACAAGAAATAATTGAAACTAATGGTGCTTCAAACCACAGATCTTCATGTGTTACTTGTGACGGTATTGAAAAATTGTAATAATTGCGTAGAAACATGCCACTATTGTAAGTAGAGCTGGGAAGTTCACGCAACTAGAGATCTTTTGTTGATGGTCTTTTCTTCCGGAAACATCAAAAATTTATTTTCATGGCAGAAAAAGATAAGAAAAGTTGTACATATAATGTTTTTCCCCTTCTTAGAGGTTTTTGGCATACACACGAATGTCTGCATATTTTCCGACCTCTTGTTTCAAATAAAACAAAAAAAAAATTTCCTTCTACAGAATTACAACTAATGCAAAGCACGAACTTTCTTGCTGCTTCAAAATCGTCAGTAGAATGAATTTCTGACGGCAAACGCCACCGAAGAAATATCTGCCGTCATCGCCAAGATTCGACATCGGGCCTTCTTTCAAAATTCTCAGCTTGACCTTACGTGGCAAGACATCCTCTTTC